TCTCTCTCTCTCTCTCTCTCTCTCTCTCTCTCTCTCTCTCTCTCTCTCTCTCTCTCTCTCTCTGCATCCCCATTCCACCCCCGACTGTCATTCCTCTTTTTCTCGCATTTGCATCGAGCATTATGTATATACGTATGTGCCTTCACGCGATGACACGGGCCATTGAATACCCGACTTTCGTGCGCCCTTCTCTCTCTTCTTTGCCCGTTCCACCCTCGTATGGACTGACTCTCCAACCTCTCGACCAATCCTCTTCCTCCCTTCTCCCACTTTCCGCTCGCGAATAAACGTGAACGCAAAAGAAGTATCTCTGAATGAGCGGTACCTATGGACACTATGGAGTTTCCCTGTTATTAGCATCCACTCTGTCTCTCGGTGCGCGGGCACGAAGTGAGAGCCGAGCGGTCATTATGGAGATTGAAACACCGTTCGCGATGGGTTCGTTCCATCCCTTTTCTCTCCTTTCTTTCATCTACCTTGTTCTCATTTTCATTCTTGTTTGCTCATTCGAGATCGCGTAATCATACGAGCGGATAAAATCACGTAATAAATGACGCAAAAATTAGTTTTCAGTAAGGATAGTTTTTTGAATAAACTGACCGATTCTCTTAAATCGACAACTACACGCTCAAAAATGCCTTAAGATATTTTATATATAAATTTAAAACTATTTATATTGCAAAAATGTCTAATTGTCAAATATTAGAACATAATCACAATAAGAGAGTAATGCAATGTAAATCATACTAGTAAATAATAATTAATAATTAATACATTTGTATCTGTTTTTTTTTTTTATAAATTTAATTGTCATTTTTTACAATTTATTTAAAAATTTTAGAATTTGAAATTTATTTTATTATTGCGCTATAATTCAATGATATCTTTACAATTCAAAATCTTCCGCTTACGTTAAACCGAATTCGAAAGAATTTTGATTTCTTCATAGCTATTTTGAAACAGCTGACATATTCATGCTTAGTTTCTTGACGGCATAAACATGATGATTTACGCGACGTCCGATGGTTATCCGATAATTCATCCTATGCGAATACGTATGGAATATGTGGAGTCTCGTAATCCGTCAGCGACGGTTGCGGCAATACGACGAGGGCCGTCATTAGGCAAGAATGCGTTGACTACAGTGCCTATTCTAACATTGCGTATCATAATAGCTACGTTATTCGCATACGTTTCTATCATTTGTAAAAGTTAAGTCTTTCGTTAAAAATAAAAATCATTTTAATATATTAATCGTCATGTACATAATAGTATAAGATATAGCAGTTTCACACGTTCAATTAGAAAATACCATTGAAAGTACGTGTTTTATAATAATAATGAAGAGAAAATTTTCAAAAAATATGAAAAATAGAAAGAACGAAGATAATAATAAAATACGCAAATAAAGAAATGGGAAAAAAATCTATGAAATATTTTGGACAGAATTAGACTTTTGCGGATCCTAGTTTCAAATTGTCATATTTCAAAAGACAATTATAGAAAAAAATACTTTTAAGGATTATTTTTTAGAAAACTGTAACACTGTACAGTATAACACTGTCGCAGTTTCAAAAGTATCTTGAGAACTGTACTTTCGAAAATCACAGCATTAGAAATCGCTAGCTTTCATTTGCATTATTCGACTCGCGTACTCTTAAAAGTCCTAATTAAACAGAATCTCAAGTCTAAAGTGTTCATGATTTCACGACCGATAACGTAATTCCTTGGCGGCGTACGCGAATCGCACTTTCGGTATTTTTAATCTGAACAGTTTCGCCGTCACGAGACTCGCCGTTTCAGAAGTCGCAGTTTCGCGAATGGACACGTGTCCCACGTCTGAGTTTTGCACGCGCGCGAAGCGCGAGAGGAGGCCCGTCGTAGCCCATGACAGCCTAAGGATCCTTCCCCGGGCTTGGACATGCAATTAACCGCCGGCTACACTTCTTCGGGGCGAGCGGGGCGAGAGAGAGCAGCGATTCTCAACCGACTAATTCGCGGTGCGATATTGGATCCGGATAGTCGGGGGTACACCTTCGGGGCCTTTTCGCCGCCCGGGAGAGACACGGCCGGTGCTTCGAGCCGCGCCAAGATACCCATCCCCATAAAAGCTTCCATGCATGTCAAGCATTATACGACCACGTTACTATTAAATACGTCAAAGCCCCGTATGTTTATTGCATATTGGATGCCGTGCACTTCGGCTCGCCCTGCCGGTCCTCGTAACCCGAACCGATCGCCATTGTCGGTAAGGGACTCGCCTCTTGTGAGCTCTCTCGAACTCGCGCTCTCTTTCTCTCTCTCTCTCTCTCTCTCTCTCTCTCTCGTTCCTTTTTGTCCATCATCGCCTTTATCTCCAACTCACCGACCCTCGTTCACCGCCTCCGGAAATGACCTCGGTGCTGTCTCCTGCGTCTGCTGCGACGACCGACCGACGCATCTACGATCTCGCACGTCGATACATCGATAAGAGCCGCGGGACGCGTTGTAAATTATTTCACACTGGCATCAATCGCGCCAAAACGTTCATGTTTCGCTTTCGACCGTCAACTATTTCGAGACATCTACGCTACTTTACTTTCAGAAAAGAGTTATAGATAGAATATATAATTATCATTATTTTTTTATATGTCTTTTCATTGAATAAAATCCTATCCGATTGATATCAGGAGACATTTCTTTTTGAAAATATATTCAGGAAATAATATCTCTCAAATCTTGAACAAAAATCATTGTGCAATCCCAATTTTGTATAAAAAAAAGTTTGTAATGTTCGGGATTTCTTTTAAATAATTGTAAATAAAACTCAAAATTATTCCAGACTTTTACTCAATCTTCTTTTGCCCGAATTTCGCCCCACGAATACGATAACGATACTGGCGGAACAATATTCTCGTTTTCTCCCCGTTCAATCCGAGATATCTCGACGAAACGCGGGTTCCACGGACACCCCGCCATGGACGATGCCGCGGGGTTTGACCGAAAAAATGCTCGAGTCCGCTCTTATTATTCAGGATTTCGGACCGTTCGACGGAGATACGGTGAATTATGCATGGTCAGTCCCGCGGCGTCGCGCCGCGCCCGGCTTTTTCCCATGCATGCCATGCATATGCCGGGGTGATAGATGGATGTGTCAATTTCATCGGAGCTCGGTATCGATACGAGCCAGGGTTATCTTCATCGACTCGAAGATTACGATACGCTCGCTCGCTCGCGCATCCAGACGCGGGCGAGCGAGTCATTTTCCTCGGAGCGATAAATCTGCCGCCAGCATCGATATAGCCGGAGCTTGACGCTGAATCCGCAACTATAAACGGGCCAACCATTGAACGTCGTTATCCTACTCGGACATTTTTTGCCGTGTGTAACGCATCATCGAACCCGCGAGCAAGTGAGTTACCATCCGTTACGAGATCTGTATTGTCATAAAAAAGAAACGCAGAATGCAGCGTGATTGTTGCATTTTATTAATCCGTCGAGTATTGCGCGGACTATTTTCATTATAAATCTTATTACAAAAATCTATAGATTTCGATGAATGTAAAAATATTTATATAAACAGCTAAATATTTATTGATTATTATTGCAAATCAGATAAATTACAAAATTCAAGACATGATTTTGATATACTTCTTCACATTTCAATATTTTATGATAAAATTATACTTAATCGAGGTTCAAAATCCGAAATCTGTTCATATTAATTTCTAATACAGTATGAGAGTGTGAAAGTTTAGTGTCTCTCATCTGATTTTCAAGACATAAATCGCGCGCGCGACGCTACTTCAGGAGTAGAACGATCTGTGTAGAGCGAGCGAGGGGGGGCCCGTCCTCCTTCCTCCACGAGACCACTATCGTAAAGTCGAAGCTTTATCACCTGCCGTCATCCGCCCGCGACGTAGATGAAAATCTCCCCTACCTCGGCAGGTTTTTTTTCAAAGGTCGTGACTACTTGTTAAACGTCGTCCGTCGGCTCTCCACTTACGCACGGCACTTACGATAGCATCGATGCCGCCAACCGGCTGATCTCGGTTTCGTTTAATTTTTCTATTAAAATATGTTTAATTCATTGGTTTTTGAGTGGTGAGTTTTCTATCCCTTTCTTTCATCGATTTAATCAAACTGGAATTATACCTGGAGACACAATTATTTTCATATACATCAGAAAGTCTAAATAATTTTAAATATTTTTCTAACAACAAAATGCGAATAAAAGTTTTATACTTGTATAAAATATCTATGCTTATTAGTTTTATTAATATTAGAATGTCTACAAATCGTTTTCTTCCTTTATCTCTTTTTCATTTCATAAAAGAAATAAAAAATGTTCTGGAACATTTAAGAAATAAAGCAAACTTTATTTGTAAGCAACTTATGTCGATGAATATAAATATTACAGCGTAATCTGTCATATGGAAATTTTATTTAGTGACAAGAGGTATTCTCTAACTTGGCATTTATTTCGTTATGAAAGTATTTCCAACTTATGATATCGACAACGGTCGTGCGAAACTCTCGTCGATTCTTTCTCTTTTGCTCTTCTTTCCTCTCCCCTTTCTTCGCATTCCTATAAACGCTCAGTTGAACGTGTCAACGCGGATTACAGCACGCCCAAAATATAATGACAAGCTCCTCGGAACCCTGCAACGAGGTCGGGTCACTCGTCGGATAGGCCCTAAAAAGGGCGTGCGGTATTCTCGGTACAAAGTGTTCCTGTGAAATATTCAATGGAGCAAAAGAAATTAGAGCAGAGTGAAACCGACTATGCCTATTAATCAGTTACTTTTTGTAAGACCTACGATCAATAAACAATATTTTTGCTAAGTTTTTAAGTAGACAGTTTTAATAAAAACTGCTTTTGAAAATTAGTATGTTACATTTGAAATTGCATTTGAAATATGTTACATTTAAAATTTAAAAATATATATAATAAAAACTATCTTTAAAAAATTAAATTTATATATTAATATATAATTAATATATAAATAATTTATAACAAAATATACAAATTAGTATAGGAATATAATTATATAAATAAATAAATAAAAGCAAATATATATATTGTTGAAGATGAATTTTTGTAATTCAAATCAACGTATTTCAAAAGAAATTTCAAAAATTATTACAAGATTATATCTATATTATGTTTATATTTACTGTATTTATATTTGATATAATATCTGTATTATAAAATTGTAAAAGGAGAGAATATAGAAGGAAAATATATCGATCAAAGAATAATAAAGAATTTCTCGTGGAAATTTGAGTAGCACGAAAAAAGTAGTAAAAATTTTTATTCAAATTTATATGCTACAATTTTCTTTATAATTTAATGTTTATTCTTTACTAATTTTATTTTCAATATTTTGCATCACATATCATGCAAAAACTTATGTTTTCATAGAATTACAAACTCCCAACTTACATTATGCTACTTCTCATCAGGTGAAAATATACCTGAAGTATAAAAAGTAAATTCTTTTTCCATATTACTTATAAAAAGTTACCGATCCAGTGTATCATTATATTTATCGACCGCCGACAGTTTGTCTTCATGTTGCGGTCAATCGTGACCCAAAAAAGATTCGATGCAACGGAACATCCGTGCCATTCTATTTCGTTTGGGGAACTCTAAAACCACACTTGCATACGTAATAATGGTATAAAGCCGAGGGGTGCCAAACCGCCTTTATGCGGGAAATTTACTATAAAGCTGGCAAAATCACCGACGACGAGTCGCCCCTCGGCTCGGTTCTGCATACGAAACCCAAATGGTCATCGTAAATAGAAAATCCGTTTTTTTCTCTCTCCCTCTCGATTACATATGCGAAAAGTGCCGGAGTTTATTCATATTATGACGCTGCCTCGTCGCAAGCGACATGCGGACCTAGCTTTTCGTTAAAGGGACTGTATTCCCCCGGTCGTATTCGCTCGTATTTTGCACTCGCGTAAAGCATCCGCCACCGCGAAATCGTTATCGTTTACATATCGCGGGAGTGGTTTATCCTCGGCTATATCTTCTACCTATTTTTTCATCGGAATTCGGTATTATTTCGAATAATTTAGTATCATCATTTGACTGAATAATCGTATGGATAACTATTTTTATAGCTACGATAATATGTTAGAATAATTAACTAATATGTATCGCAAATTATTTGAACATTACGCGGACAATTTAATTTTAGTATTTATATAAATAATTATTAACTACTTTATATGTAATTGTTTTTGGGGGCATATTCTACAACGAAAATTTTTAAGAATAGAAAAGAAATTTTATCATATTTATATATTTTTATATAATAATAATTATATTTTTACTTTAATCCAATTGTCTTCTCTGTCTATCTGCTGCGCTTTTGTGTATATAAATATGTGCAGACTTTAATTTCCGTGATTTTCCATCCTTGTATTAATCTGACAGCTGTCATATGAATTTCCATTTCACAAGTAGAAATTAGACATCCAATTTTACTTTGATTTTTGGGTCAATAACTAAAAATAAGAAAAATTTATTTTTATAAAAATTTAGTTAGGAAAAAGAAGAAACAAAATTTTAAAATAAAGCAATATTTTTAATAATAATACAACTTATGCAAAATAAGAAACATGATGTATTAATTAACGCAGTACTTTAAAATAATCCTGCATGATTAGAAAATAAATGACTAAATATAATATATAAATAAAGACAAAAATAAAATAATAAATATAAATATATCTGATTTTTTTCAATCTCCAAATGGAATATTCTACTATTCAGTTCCAAAAAATGTCAAAATATGTTTGTGTAATTTTTAATAATTTATATTTCCTGCGAAAAGGAAGAAACAAAACAGATAAAAAAGCAAGAGCCGTCATTTTTAACAATAGTTCTGAGTAATATAGTCATATTTTCGTAAATATTAGAAAAAAATAAAAATATTTTTAACTTAAAGAAAAAAAGATTCTCTAAAAATTGTCTTTCGTTCTATAAATCCACAAAATCATGTACAAAGTTGTAATAGATAAGTCTTACGAACGTCTTTGTAAGCGATTGAATTCTCTCAGTGTGTTATTATTTCTGGAATAATTATGAATGATGCGACGACCGATGTACCGCGCGATTAGAGCGATGCGACAGGGAACAAAAGGAAAGAGATAGAGAAACGTAGAATAAGCGTCGTGTAACATTGGAATTAATTTCCATAGTGCGTCGGGTCGGGGTTCCAATGAATAACAATAAAGCGCGAGAGCATACGACGCCACACGGCATGCCCACAATCCGGGGCAGATCGTTACGCGCGACATTAACTTTCGGCTTAGCCTCGTTTATGCAAATCCCGCCGGGGCATCTGTTTTCGCCTGCAGTCCGCGAAATGCGTTTTTCGCTCTCGTAACCCGCTCCGCCGCGCAGTGGCTCCGTTTATTTTATTATAATCTTTTCTTTTTTTTTTTTCGCCGACCGTCCGTTCGCTGCGACCACCGGTCAGTCCTGACCACGTCATCGTCCCTCTTACCCTCACCGGGCCCCTTTCGTCCCGCGCGAAGGCTCCGCGTGTGCAGGGGCCCCGTGCATTCTTCGTCGTCCGTCGTCCGTCGTCGTCCTGAGTTCACGGGTTCAGACAGATGCGAGCTGAGCGCTAACGAGAACAATTAGGAGTTCCACTTTGCGCTCTCTAGTCTCTCTCGGTTCCCTCTAAAAATAAACACGGCCACTTAATGGCTCGCTCCGTCATAACTCGCGCAGATGCGAGCCCGTCTTATATTATTCCCACGAATGGCACCGCGTTTCTCCGAATGCACCACCAAAGTGCCACCAACCTCCCTATCTCTGTCCTTGTCTCTCACGTTCTCTCGCCGGCTTTCGGCGATGGCTTCCACGCGCGACGACTTTATCGGGGATCGTAGAATCGCCACGAGCCGGCTAAAAATATTTTATGAACGAAAATTGGCGGGCGCCCGCACGCGCAAGATATATTCAGAAAATGAACTGTCAACTTTCGTGGCCATCTCGCCACGTGTTCATTAATACTGAAATGGAAATCCATTTATACGAATTCATAAAAATTAAAAATAATGTAATATATGCCGAAGAAATGCAGATAAATTTAGGAGATGTAATTTGGTTTAACTTAAAAGAAATAAATTTATAATTTCCAACAATATATATTAATTATTAGTAATTGTATTTAAATATTTGTAATGTATCAATTTTTTTCTTTGGAGATTCCTACATCAGTTAGTCCTAACAAAACTATTCGACTCACTTAAAGAACGAAAACTCACGGACATCAATCGTTATTCGAAAGGCGATAAATAATATTAACGGTTATCAGGTCATTCTCGGCGCGATGGTGCATTTAGCGGTTCAGTTTTCTTCCCCGTCACAAGCCTTATCCAACTGTC